CATGAATGTACAAATATCTAATTTTCTTTAAAGATCCCAGTAGTTTTTTTTGTACAAGACAACTTAACTTCTTAATGAACTGCTCAAGTAAAAGGAGATTAATCCTTTTGTATATTTGAGTGTTGTATATTTGACTTTGATCCTTAGTTATTTATTGCTCCCTGATTCACAGAGGGACTGTCGGCCTGCTAGGGCACCAAGCACATTTGTAGCTTTTGCTTATTGCTCTTTAAAGGGGCACCCAGTAAAGAGTAATTTCCCCTTAATCAGTCATGTACACAGACTTTATTATAGATAGTACCAAAAGGTGTAAATTCTGGAGGTAGACTCACCAAATAAATGTTTCTTTGGTGAAATTAAAATACCAAAATAAGAGACACAGGTATCTTGGACATCAGCTAAGTAATGGTCCCTTCTTCTAAAGTCTGTACTTCCAAATGATTCTCAGACCTCCAAAAATATTGCTCAACTGAATAGAAATTCTATTAGACACTATCTATAAGAAAAAGCCGTTTGTGGTGAAAACAGTGAAGGTGAGAAAGAGAATCCTGCCTAGATTTTTCCCCCAAATAATTCCCTACAATAATCTAACCTAGAATTTGCTGCATATCAGAGGCCCTTAAAGAAAGATTTTCATCCAGGAATAGTTAGAGGTTTGGGATAGAAGCACTGAGAGCTAACCCTGAAACGTCAGGACTCCTCCTCTCCACCCACCCTGCCTCCTTTAAAAAGCACTTTAAAATGTGATGCTCTTGCACTGAATTTTTCATCGGGAAGAACACACTCAAAATGGTATCAGCAGTGGCACATAGCCAGAGCCCATACTCCTGTAGGTGTGTGAAATTTGGAGAAAGAGGAAAATCTTTTACTCTCCTTATGTTCAAAATTTCCCTTTCCCCTCTAGATATTTCCCCTGTGGCTGTTATATGACATGGGAAGTTATCAGAACGTGATATATTAATTCAGTGTTGGCTGTACTTTCCATACGATACTCCAGGCACTGTGCACAGTGAGTCCGAACGACCCTCGGGCCAGGGAGGGTTGATGAATGCAGGCAGATGCTTCAGTGGTCCCTTCAGTGGCCATGTCAAGGTTTAATTTTGATCAAATTTCTTATGCTGCCAAAGTACATCCTGATTATTTTTGTTTTTGTTTTAATTTGTGGACTTAATGAAAACATTGCTTTTAAGCAAGAAATGAAAGGGCAGAGAATAAAGTATGTCTCCCATTTTACCTCTGTTGCTAATGGTGCAAGGATGGCTCATTGGAGAGAGATTACAGCTCTTAAAAGAAGTTAGAGACCCAAATATAGAGGTTGCTGTGTAGACTTCTGATGCTGCCCAAATATAAAATTCAATTTTATATCAAAATAAGTCCTAAATCCACTTTCTAATTAGTATTTTATAAATGTTAATTTTTAACAAAATATTGGGTCTGCTTGAAGTGGAGCCTTTATGAATCCACTGTAGGAAAGCAGTGAGACATGCAGCACTATGAGTTAGCCAGAGTTGGAGTCAGAATGAATGTATTTCATTCTTTGCTGCCTTTATTTGTTGCGTATGTACTTTCTAGAAACAGAGGCGAGAGGATTGGATAAGATGCAATTTCCACACTTTTGTTTACATGAGCCTCCCTGCTCCATGATTGGCAGAGCTCCCTTCATTTAGGGCTTAAATAAGTTGGGCAAGCGATGCTATCTGACATCATTGACACCAACTGTATCTTAGGAAGGACAGTCACAGGGCACTCTGAGTTCTGATTTCAGCCCCACCAGGTAGGGAGCTCCTTACTGCACCCCCCCTTGAGACCATAGCCTCCTCCAAATAGCACCTCTGTTTACATGGCCATCCCTGCCTGACCAGAGGTCAAATGTCACCGGATATATGATTCCTTATCCTTAATCCCAATCTTTCTGCTTTTGTATGAACTCAGGGGCTGAACTGGAAATTAGGCCTTGGGCAGTATTAGAAAATTAGGTGACCAAGATGCTGCCTGCAGGCAAGAGACTGCTCCCCACCATTTGGAGGCTCTGTTACCAGTAACCAGGTTAGGTGCACTGAAAATCAAAGAGGTGTCCTCAGAGGCTTTGAGTAGTGAGGAAAGCTGCAGATCCTGTTTTCCTACAAGCTCCAGAAGTGACTAGTCCTGAATTTTCCCAACAAATATCCCAGAGCTAATCAGCAGAACCAGTATTACAGGTGAAAAGGAAGACTTGCAATGACCCGTCTGGCGTGACTGGTAACTGGATGCTTTCCTAGTAATTCAGCAGTTGATATTGTAGTCGGAGAGACCCTTTTTGGGGCTGAAGTTGTTTCTAGAACCGCCTTTTCCAAATAAGTTAAGGTGAGTGGATAGCCACTATATTAGGCTAAATGTTCTCTCTACCACTTCCTTACTGTTGTCAGGTCTGTGTATTGATGAGGGAGGAAGGAAATCTGAGATGGACCGAAGCTTATTTTTTCTCTGCCACTGGTAGCCCACCTCTGTTTTCTGATTACTAGTTTGCGACCTAAAGCTGAGCCAACCTAGCCCCCTTGTGAAAATTCCTGCTGTATGAATGAATACATTATTTTATTTTACATTTTTTCTGTTTAAAGCGGAGCGGAGAAAGGGAGAAAAAAAGGTGTGTGTGTGTGTATTGTTAAATAAAAAATTTAACTTCTGTCGCTGAAGGTCTTTTTAAAAGAAAGGGTTTCTTGGGCCATTGCTTGCAAGATAAAAAGACCAGGTCTTGCACCAGGTGGGAAAGGCAACATGTCCACTGTCCCGTGTTGACTGGCTTTTCAAAAAAATATATCAAGTAGGTGGGGAGAAGGTGAAGTGGTCTGGTTCTGGGTTGAGCCTAGAGTCCACAGGGAAGAAGAAGAGTCTGTGCCTTGGGATTGGCAGCAGGCCACAGTCCAGGAAGTTCACAGCAGTAAACAGGAAGGGAAGACACACTCAGGAATGTGAGCAGGCTTGTTAGCTGGCCCCCAGCTATTATCAGGTTCATTATTCCTGTCTCTTTCACTCTCCTGCCATTGTCATTTCATTTAGAACATCTTAGCATTTTTCTCCCTCCTCTCCCCCCTCTCTTTTTCTGTACACTCGCCCCCCCCCCACATGGAGAGATATGAAAGTAGAATTTATTTTCATTCAGTCAGTCCATTTTAATTGAGTCCCTCCTATGTTCTGGGTATTACTCTTGTCACCGCGGATACAGTGATGAACAAGACAGACCCCCTTCCTTAGGAGGAAAACTGAAGTATAACTGGAACGTGTCTTGGTGGAACCTGGCTTCATGGGCTGAAGGAAGAGTTTAAGTGCCCAGAAAAGGCCTCACTCAGATCTTGCATTTGCACCAAAATCTAGATCACAAAAAGTTGCTGTCCTTAAGAAGGGCTGGGATGAGAACATCCTGGGCAGAGGGAACAGCAAGGGCATGGCCTTCAGTTTCGTTTGAACCTGGTGTGTACAGAAGCCAGAAAGAAAGCCAGTGTGCCTGAGAGGGACTCAGTCCAAGAAGAGGGCGGGGAGGGCAGATCAGGCGGGTCCTGTGGGCAATGGTGAATATCTGGGGTCTTATTCTGAGCGCAGTAGGAACCCTTGGAGGGCTTTACATGGAAGAGTACATGATCTGGAGGAGTATCATGGGGCTGCTGTAAGGAGAGTAGGCTGTGGGGAGCAAAAGTAGAAACAGGGAGACCAGTTAGGAGGTTACCCGAGAGATAACAATGGCCTGGACCACAGAGGTGATGACAACTCAGACCCTGTCATGAGCAGGAATTTCTCTGACTTCCTTATACTCTTTCAGTGCAGTCTTTATAGTTAATCAACTATACTTCTGAATTTAAATAAAGTAATACTTTGAACTATTGCTTAGTTCTGTGATTTCTAGCCTCCATTCCCCCCCCCCCTCATTTTATTACTGAAGTTTTGAATAATTAAGTACTGACTCTTAAAACATCTAATTTCTTTTTGGCTTACTTCTGTGTTACTGAGTCTGCCAGAATCTGTAATTTCTATCATGGCGTTTGCCAAAAATCACTTACAGTTGTTTATTAAAATACTTAGTGTCTTTCTTATCATAAAATCTCTCTTGCAGAAAGTACAACAAAATATAAAGAAAAAATACCCACTATGATCCTGTTATCCAGAGAAACATTTTATTTCATTTAGTTTTAGTCTTTTTTTTTTTTGTACATGTATAACTTATTTCGAAGTGGTTGTTATTTTTAAGGAAATAAACTTTGCAAACAGTAGTTTTCATAAGAAGTTTAGTAATTAAGTGACTTGATTACTTTTCATAGCATTCTTTTTAAAATTTTATTTTTAAATTAAATTTATTGGGGTGATATTGTTTAATAAGATTATATAGGTTTCAAATGTACATTTCTGTGACACATGATCTGTATATTGCAATGTGTGCCCACCACCCAAAGTCAGATATCTTTTTTCACCATATATTTGGTCCCCTTTACCCTTTACTACCCCCATCTCCACCCGCCTTCCCTCTGGCACCCATAGCATTCTTTAAGGTGTGCGATCAATTTCTTATTTTCATCACTTGAGCTGCCGAAAGGCCATCCTCCAATTAGGTGTTTATTATGTAACTCAGATGGGCTCTGATTGCATTGTCTGTGTCTTCAGCCAGCTTTGTAATGATATCTGTAAAATGCCTGTAAAGTTACACATCAGTCCCAAGGTTTAAATTTATTTTTCTGGCATTTTTCTTCTCTCAGAGCTGTACCTTGAGTAGCTTTGCCACGACCCACCATTCAAATTGTGAGGTTATATAAATTAAATATGTTAGCCTGTTGATTAATTCTTATATCGCTTGTAGGATTTATGGTGACTTATTTCCACTTAAAGAGGTTAGAAATCTCTTTCTGAAATTTTAAAGAACAAACCTAGATATTAACTTTAAAAAGTGCATTCCAGAACATAGAAATTTCTTTTGCAATGCGTGTGTCATGAATGCAGGCTAAAATGTGGTGATAATCTGGGTAATTATTTTGCAGACCTCAAAGGAAGACCTTCTGCAGGCTGATTTTGAAGGGGCTTTAAAGTTCTTCAGAGTTCAGCTTCCAAAGAGATACAGGGCAGAGGAAAATGCAAGAAGATTGATGGAGCAGGCTTGCAATATTAAGGTAAGATGCACGAATTTACATGTCATAAAGGTGGAGCTTGACTGCATAATAACATGGCAAATTATGTAAACCCGGTCCCTGTGTGTTGCTGGGTTTTTACTGTGTTTAAGGTGATGTTGTTGGTGAACTAGTCTCTTCCAGATTTTTTTGTCAGGCTGCTAAGTATATAGTAGCTGTACCTTCTAGTAGGATTTAGAATGAAGGTTGGTAGGTTCAGATGGTAACAATAGAAAGACAAACATTTATTTATAGGTAAGGCTCTAGAATGGGCTGCTGTGATAGTGGTTTCCATGGCAGCAGACCTGGCATTTAGCTTTTACCATCTGTTTTAAGATTATTTAGGACAAAGCAAGAAAAGCCTGCTTAGGCAGTGCTTTCCTTTCTCTATGGGCCTTGGAAAGCTCTGAGTCTTGATCTGCCCATTCGCATCCCACACTTGCCAAATACTGGGGATACATTGCTCCTTATCATATGTCTGATAAAACTAGACACATTGTATAAAATAATTTGAAGTAGAAATCTCTATCCAGAAAGTTTTGGTATCAAGGTGAGAGATCACATTAAAAAAAAAATGGCACCAATTTACTGATGCTAATTCTTGTACCTTGGGAGCATACTAGGGAATCTTCTTACCTAACCATGACATTAATATGCATTTCTTTTCTGAACAAACAGACAAAGATCCCAGGTCTTATGGACCTTACATTCTCACATAAAATAATAGACAATAAATAACCTTATAAATAAAGAATATATTTAATATGTTAGAAGGTGATAAATAGCTATAAAAGACAGAAAAAGTAGGGGAAATAAGCAAGATGGGGTTCGTGAGGAAGGGGAAAGTTCCTGTTGTTACTAGTCAGAGTAGACCTCACTGAGAAGCTGAAGGAGATGGGCTAGTTATGGAGATGTCTAGGGGAGGAACATACCAACAGAGGCAACAGCTAGTTTAAAGGCCCTGAGGTTGGCTCGTTCCTGGTGGATTTGAGGAACAGCAAAAAGGCCAGTGTAGTTGGAGTGAGGTGAATGAAAATGAGAGTGATAGGAGAGAAATTTAGAGAGCCTGGAGGGAGCCAGGAAATGTCGACCATTGTGAGGACTTAGGCTTTGCTCTGAGGGAAGTGGGTTTTGACTGTGTTTAAGGTGATGTTGTTGGTGTGGAAGAATGATATGCTCTGCCTGAGGTTTTAGAGGATCACAATGCCCACTGTGTTAAGAACAGACTATGGGAAGGTAGGAGTAGAAATAGGGAGCTCAGACAGGGTTTTGGGGTAATCCTGCTTAGGAATGATGATAGACTGAATGAGGGTGATAATAGTGGGATGGAAGAGGGGTAGAGATGGAGGTGGTTGGAACTTGGGTTGTATTTTTAAAGAGAACCAACAGGGATTCACGATATATTAATCGCAAGTATAAGAGGAAGAGAGGAGTTGAGAGGATTCCACAACTTTTGGACTGAGCAATTAAAAGATAAGTTGCCATCAACTTATTATGCTCATTACTTAAAATGTACTTTGACATAGGTTGCATTTAAGCACCTTACCTACTGTAACACTTTTTTGGTGTAACACTTCTGTATTGAATTTTAACTTATCTTAAAGTAAATTCTAAATGTTAAAAGGTACAATTCAATACTGAAAGTAAGTAACTGATATATATATAGTCTTTCAAATGAACTCTATATTCAAAGAGGTCATTTTCCAAAGATATAAAGAAAGGTAGACCTTTGAAGTCTCCATGCTGAAATGCAAACTTTTAGCACTTTCTGGCCTGATTGTTTTCTTTGGCTGGGCCACAGCTATCTGCAGCCTTTAGCTTGCATTCTGGCGGTAGTGGTGGCTTTGGCAGATTTCTGTGGGTGGTAAGTTTGATGTGTATTGTTCAGTGGCTGATTGTTCCAGAGCTGTCAGAGAACGGTATTAGAAACGGGGGCGATGGTATAGGAATCTATTACAATAAGACATTTATTTCTAAGAATAAAAGAGTAGAGAGTTAAGAGGTACAAGTAAGGTGGAAAGTTAAATGTTTTCAAGGGAAATCTTGTAGTATTGGAAAAATCATTGAGAATAAAAAAACCAGAAAACCGTCCAAAAATATGAAACTTACAGAGAAAGACTTTCCCACTGTATTTTATGAAGTTCAGTTTCTCAGAGGATAGAGGTAACTAACAATTGTCAAGCCAGAAACATGGGATCTGAGGGATGCAGAAACACAGAATGTTAGAAGACAACCCAAAATATGATCTCAATGGATTGTTCCTGGAATGAAAGGGTTAGGTGCAACCAGAGTGATTTATTTGGCCACAAATGGATATACATAAATATTTTTTAAAGTAATAGTAGGGTTGTTATTTTGTTTAGTTTTGCATTATCTCAGGAGAGTGACTTTTTCTTAGATATTTAAAACAGTTCCCCCAAAACACCATTTTTTAAAAATTAAGATAGAATTGACATGACATTATGTTAGTTCGTTTCATGTGTACAACATAATGATTCAATATTTTTATATATTGTAAAATGATCATCACAGTAAGTCCAGTTAAAATCTGTTACCATACATAATTACTTTTTTTGTGTATGTGTGGTGAAAACTTTCATGATCCACTATCTTAGCTACATGTAAATATGCAATACAGTATTATTAGCTATTGTCACCATGACTTATCCATTAAGTACATACATACACACACATACACCTGAAGAGATGCTTGCCCTTACAATACATGATGCACTCTGATGTTTTCTCTTTTACTGTATTGCATTCTATTTCATTTTTTAAACTCCTCGCCTCCCCCCAAGAAAAATTCCCAAACCCAAAAGCTAGTCACAACCTACTAAATGGATTTCACAATGACTTGCAGTTTTAAAAAAACTCTAAGGCCTACCCCCCTGTTGCCACTTCCTCCCCCTACCCTATTCCAATCTGATGCAGCCTGTGAGAGGGTGTGGAGGGTGAGATGCCACACTGAGTAATGGAAGTGGGGGTGTGGTAAGGATGTGAGTCATCAGGCCCTCATTACAGCGGTGTATGCTGGCAACTGGAAATTTTAGGAAATGATGGATTTACAGGTCAAGGCTGTGTTAGACAAAGCCTTTATGGACACAGGTGACAGCAGGTATGGGACAGGCAAAAATGTTGAATTCACAATTTCTAATCTATGGACTGTTTTTTACATTAAAGATAAAATTTCTGTCAAAGAAATAAAAATTTTTTTTGTATTTTAATTATTTTCAAAGTTAGTATTTATATATGGTAGTATTTTCTTTGAATGGACATGTTCTCATTTAATTACCCAACAAAATTAATCACTTGCTCTAACTTTAAGGAACTAGGTGATCAGTGATTGCAGTGAATGGACTGGTTTTAAAATAGATGTAACAGTTGCAGGTAAAAATTAAATTGTTAGCTCTGTATGTGACTTATTTCTGAGTATACCAATAGGATGTATTATTAAACCATGATTGATTAGATACATATCAGGAATATCTTTTGGTTTTTATTTTTTCTAATTTAACTAACATGATTTCAAATTATTCTATCTCCCTCAGCTGCTATGGTTTCAGCCAGGCTAAAATCAGAAAATAAGTTGACCCGTTGGCCTTTTTGGGAAAGTCGTTTGGTTACTTAATACTTGATATGTGAATATCCTGCACTTTCCCAGGGTGTGAGCTTTTGTTGAATATCATTATTAAATTATTACCTTATAGTTAAAAATTCTACTGTTGCTTAGCTTTTAAACTTGGATCTTGGCTTTATGAACTCTGAATCAGTAGAAATTTGAATTTCTTTATACAAGCATATAAGCGCTTTTTTCCCCCTGGCAAGACAATACATAGCTTTCATTGGATTCTCAACTTGGTAGTAATCACACTGTGAAAGGCAACAAACGAAGGAGAACAAATTACAAGGATGGGAGATAATGAGCTAAGTGTTAGACATGTTGAGTTTTTGGTGTATATCCACAAGTTCTCATCCAAGCAAATAGAAATATGTAGGCAGGTGGCTACTGAAGTGAGATCTGAGCTAAAAGTAGACATTTAGATGTCACCAGTAGTGAAACCATGGTTGAATTCTCCTAGAGGACCCCAGAGAAGGGTTGAGGTAGATGCATTAACATGTAAGAGATGGGCTGAGGCCTGGAAGTCGGGAACTCAGAAGAGTGTCAGGTGTGAACACTGAGGAGAATGGTATTTGTTTTCACAAGGGAAGAAGTTGAAAAATTGTCAGTACCGCTTAGAGGTCATGTGAGGTACCCAGGAGTGGAAAGTGGTCATTGTGCAATCGTTAACGATAAAGATGTCCTTAATGGCCTCGTTGAGAATGGTTTCAGTGGATGATGAATAATAAAAGCTAGTGATTCAAGGAATGTATGGAGGGCGAGTAAATGGAGAAAGGAAAATGAAACAACTCTTCTAAGAAGGTTCTCATGGGGAGAAGATAAGGGATGGAAGAGACAGCCAGCAAGATAGAGAGCACGAGAGGCAGATAAGCAGATCTGAGGTTAAGATGGAGTTTTGGAGGATAGGAAAGATGAGTCTTTAAATGCCAAAGAAACTCAATGAATCAATTTCTTCATTGAGCACTTAATATATGCCAGGCACTGTGCTAAATCCAGGGAACACAAGGTTGAACAAAAGCAGATATGCTCTCTGAACTCATGGAGTTTATACTGTTGTGGAGAAAATGAAAATTGGATAATCACTTTAATAAATGTACAATTACAGAGTGAGATAAATTCTCAGAAAGGATAATAGGATATATGAGAACAAAGAGCAAAGGAACCTGACTTTGACTCAGTGATTTAGGTAACACTTTCCTGAACTGAGATTACAAGGCATTCTCAACTGAAGGGACACATGCAAACCCTGTGAGGTGGGAGGGATGTTTAAGAAACTAGGAGTAGGCCAGTACGATCATAGCTTAGAGAATGATGAGGTCTGATATCTAGGGACCAGAGCACCCCATCTTCAAATAAGAAGGGAAGGCCCACAGAAAGAGAG